GGGGCGGGGCGGCCCTCAGGGGGCTGAGCGCCCGTGGAGGGGTTGTTTCCAGCGGTCAGCCGTGTCGGCCGTGTGCCGTTCAGGCCGGTGCGGGCGGCAGCAGTGACGGTCGGACTGAAAACAGAAGTTGGGGAGCAGCCGGTTCGCTGCGAGGTGCTTCAGCCAGGTGAGCTGCCGTGGCGCAGCAGCCGCTGTGCGGCCCCCCTTCCCGCCATCCGGCTGCTCGTCGTAGTGACGTTAGGTCCCTGCGGCTCCGACAGCAGAGCGACCGGTTCAGGAAAGGCGAGAAGGGGCTTTCTGCCGTCTCCTCGGGAGAGCCTGCAAAATAGATACTTGGCAAACCCTCCGGAATACCAGCACTGGAAATACAGGCCTGAAGAAAGATCTCTCGCATGCTTATTCTAATCTTTGATGCTCAGAATTTTCTGAACGCTTTTCAATATTAGCAGAAAATGTTATCCGGTATTACATATGAAAAAAGCTAACTTGCATCATTCTTCTTCTTGTAAGTAGCATGCATTAGGATTGTCAAAATAGACTAAAAGTCGACGTTTTATATAATTTCCTGTGCTGAGATGTTAGTGATACCACCGTTCTTGTCACAGCAGCACAGTACAAGTGAATATAGTGCAAGTATTTTATAACAATTCACGTATTGTATCAAAATAATTTAACACACAAATATATTTTCTAGTCACAAAATGAACTTTATGCTACACTAGTCAAAAAGTGAGCATTAGAGTTAATTGATACAATTACCATTACTTCTAATGTTCAATTGTAACTGGTATAGCATAGTATTCGTTTATTTAGGAGACAAAAAAGCCTGAAGAATAAACAATATAGTTTCTCACATGGGATTCAGAATGACTACCAGAGCTACTAGTTATGAAAAAATATAATGGAATTTGAAATGTTTTCAAATGGTCCAAAATCCTTTTCTATGTCTTATCCAAAAACGCCCATAGCATCACCTAAAACTGTGTTAGCTCAGAAAAAATGCACCTGATGCACTTTCTAGACATGTAATACTTTATTTATCAAGACACAAAGTTGTTATGGTACAGCAACGCTGAAAACATCAATTTCAGCCATGCTGTCATCTGTTGTTCAGTACACTGCAGCGATGCTGTACATAATCAATTGCCAAGAGTGTCTGAAATTTATTTTCATGTTTCAGGAAAATGTTGTCATTCTGTTTCATTTCTTTCATTTAAGGATACCTTCAATGCAAACTTAAAGGGGAATTAGCAAAATAAATTCCCACAGTTTGCTTTGGAGATCATAATGGGACTGTTGACCACTGTATCACTGAAACAGGAACTGATAAGAGATGTCAAATAAACAACTATTTTCACATGGCATTAGATACTTGAGGACTTACTGGTTTCATAAGAGGAGATAAGGCTAGAAAACCTCTATTCAAAGCCTTGGAACAATTAAAAGTTTCCAGCTTTTCTAGACCTACTTCTCTTCTCAATCTCTTCTGAATAAATTGTCCTGTTTTTCAGTTTCTTATTTGTGAGCGCCAATAAAGGCATGTATGTTGACAGAGGCATTTTTACAGTGCATACAAAAAGTATATAATGATATATTCATGTGTATTAAATAGCTGCAGAGTAGAAAAAGTATTACAAAAAAAAAGGGAACAGAAATGCTAACAGTGAAGATTTGAAGGGAGTTTTAGTTGATATAGCAAAGGCACCCCCAAATTCCTAGCACTGTTAGCCACAAAGAAAAGCAGACAAGGCTCTCACTTCATTCCGTGTGGTAAAAGTTACTTCTGGGCCTTCAGGAAAATCACTTAACCTCTCCGCAGCTTCACTAAACACTATCCCTCTCACGGGAACGTTTCAAAGCTTAATTAACCTGGTGTGAAAGCCTACACCACAATTCCAGAGCATTTCTCCCCTCAAGAACAGTGTGCAACTATCATGCCCTAAACAGAACTGAGGGAGCGGCCTTCCTCGCCTTCACCCTGCCTTGGCTACGACAAAGCGCCTCAGGCCCCGGCGCCTCTTTTCCCTCCGAGAAGTCTCTCGGAGCCGCGTCCCTCAGGACCGGCACTTCTCCCCCTTC